TCTAAGTACGACACCATTTTTAAGAAGATTATGACCAAATTTTTATTGTGTTATCATCCGACCCACTAAAGATTTAATCTTCAACTTTAGGTGTTAGTACAATACAATTGATTATAGATTTATGATCTTTTAATTTTATGATGAATTTTCGATTTGAAATTAGACTGGCAGGCCATAGAATTAATGAGGAATCTTCTGATCCAGAAATGACATTTTTATTCTTTACGAAGAAATTTAGAACAGTTATCAAAGTTTAATGTCCTAAAAGTCTTTATATAAATTTCATTGTATTATTCTTGAAATAAAAAACTTTCAAATGCTCTCCAGAACCAAAAAATAATAATTCTTTGTTTTAATTCATGCACGCAGCCAAATTTACATCAGTTTCCCCTTTTTATATTATAGGATTTTGACTGAAAGGGTAATCTTCGAATATTTTCTACATATATTTTCAAAATAATATTAATTTATTATTAATTATTTGGAATTATAATTATCAGAATTTCATTTCTTCATCTGTTAATTAGCTATAGAAGTGAGAAATCGAAGTACTTAAGTAGGATTTTATGTGCTGCTCAATTTAAATAAATAAATCATTTCATTTTCATATACAAATTTTAACAAATTAGTATCAAAAATAACAACGAAAATTTAAAGATTGCCTTGTTGGTTTACTTACAACCAATTTAACCTTAGATTTTATTTTTTTTAACAAAAATAATATTGAAGAATGAAATTGTAGAGATAAATTGAATTGAAAATACAAAAAACTATAACCTTTCTTTACTTCGTTAAAATAAGAAATACGTTCCAAAAAAAATGTTAGCTCAACCTATTACATTATTTTTTCGTTTTTAAAAATCCATAAACTGTATATTCTGGGTAGTGAATCTTAAATGGATTAAAATAATTCTTAAACAAGATCTCTAGTTTTCACAACAAAAAGTGATTAATTGTAATTTTTTTGAAAATTACTCATTACATCTAAAAATAATCAGCAGGTTTTCCAATATTTAACTTGATTCTTTATTCTGATTCATCATAAGAGCCACCTTCTCTATTGAAATTCTTTTTATTACTAACATTTTCAATTATTTAAGAACAGGTAACAATGATGTTTCTTTTTGTAATTAATGTTATTCGGTTTTTAATTGGGAATATATAATATAACAATGTATAAGGATACAAATAGAAAATATTTGTACTATGGAAATAATTAATTACATGATGGATTTTAATTAAGTTAATTAGATTAGTAGTTTATTTAATTAAAATGGTTTTTTAGAATGTAATACATTTGGATGGCATAAAGTAGTTTGTATCTACGTAAGGTGATGGATTAGTTGAGTTAAATTATGAAGAATGTGATGATTAAGAAGATGAAATTTATTTTTAATATAAATAAAATGTTAAAATTCATGTTATTTTTGTTAGAATGGTGATTGCATGAGTTGTAAAAGAAAATGGATTTTATTCATAAATAAAAGAATTTATCCTATCTCTAGAGATTTATATATAGTTGGAGATGAATAATATGATGATAATTAAATAATGCATGGTTGTTATCATCATAAAACTAATGTTAATATATGATGTATAATATGTAAATTGGGAAAATGAATTTAATGTAGTAATGGATATCATAATGTAAATTGTAAACGCCATGAGATCTTGAATGATGGATCAATAATGGGAAATGAATAATGTGATGATATGAACTTATTAGCATAAAAGATTTTTTTTATGGGTAATATGATTGTTCTAAATATTTTGAAAATTGTTATCAAGGTAATGTTTAAAATGTAATTGTATCTCAAGTTATCTTTATAATCTTACTGATTATTGTTGGTCATTTTGAGGAGATGGATATTTACCAAATTAAAAATAATGTGACAATGGGAATAGCACTTCATATGATGGTTGTTATGAATGTAAATTTTAATGTAATGAACATTTTGAGATTTATTTAAAATGAAATATGTTTAGAATGTAAGTTGGGTATTTTTGAGATTAAATAAAAAATTAAATATAATTGTGGAATATTTATTATAAAAAGAATCCACAATCAGATTTAAAATTATGTAATATTTAGTTTTATTATTATTTCTACAGTAGAAGGGGAATGCGATAAAAAGAGTGAAAAAATGGTAACTGAATTTACTTGAATCATAACTTTGGAAACGAGGTTTTTGAACTTTTATTAATATTTATAGACAAATATAAACATACAGAGATCAAACAATTTAGTAGTCATTATTTTATATGATCAAATCAAAATCAATAAAATTATTTATAATTTAATATATATGATGTTCAAAAATATCAATTCTTAATACATGCTCATTTATTTTTTATCATTCAATTATTTAATTTAATATTGAAATCTATATAAAACAAAATTAGAATTATATTTGACTTGTCACAGATATTCGTATTAACATACAAATAATTTAAGGATGTTAATGAATTAATACAAACAAAAATGTCAGGTATTTTATTAATTGCTTAGGAGTTTTATGCACTACCAAAAACATTTATATTTAATGTATCATTATTTGAATAAGTAAAATATAGATTAATTAATTTCATTTAATTTAATATTAGTAATATAAAAATTTAAAAAATATAACTGAAAATCATATATCATTTAGAATTAGAATAATTTTATTAAATTAAACTGAAAATTTAATATTTATTATCATAGTGAAAAATTAAACATGTGAAGTTGCAAATAAGAATGAAAATTAAACTTTGACAAAAATTACACAGATTGTACAAATCTATAATTAATTTACATTTAAAGAAATAAATTTTAATCACTAACAAATTTTATTATCATTCTATTTAGTTTATAACATATGACAACTCTCTTCTTATTTCATCTTCATTATATTAATATTTTAATTCTGGATTATCAAAAAGGTTTGAAATATATTTCATAAAAGAGCAAACATAATATCCACATGAATATCCATCTCTTTATTAACAGAAATCCTTTTTTATAATTCTATTAAATTGCCCTAATTGAAGAATTTATTCTAAAGTTTTAACTAAATTATCGTCAAAACAGATTGAGGGAAGCGAATCAAATACCTCTACAATATTATCTTATAAATGAAATAAAAGAAAATACCAATGAACATTGTTTTTATTAATAGGAAAACCTATATATTTATATACTAGTTTTAAATTCCAATTCAAATCTTTAAATTAAAGCAATTCTTGTTAAAAAAGCGATTTAGCTTTCTCAAGTGTATAAGAAGAACCTAAATTACTAGTAAAACTTGTTGGGATTATTAAAATTTATTAAAATTAACTTTTAATTTCAATATTCAGATTGAAATATTTTTTTTCATTTTCTAAATTAAGAAAAAAGACATAAGCATCAATAATACTGCTATTTAACCAACTTCTTTAATTCAGAATTTATATATCCTTTCCATTTAACTATTAATTAAATCTACACCAAAGATCTTAAGTTTAAAATTTGTTTTTTTTTATTCCAAAATTAAGTTATCTTCCAGTTTCTATATCTTTAATAATTATTTAATCAAAATATTGACTGGCCATTTATATGTTGCAATCTTTTTATTCAATTTCTTATGGTGTTCCATATTTAAAAGAACCTTCAAATTGGATAAAATTTGACTTTCCAGAATATTCTATACCTGGACCATTTAATTCAAATATATTTTTTCTACTCATAAAAATGTAAAACTTCCCTTCTTATATTTTATAGGAAGGATTTTGATTTTTGTCATAAAATACTGAATAAAATTTTCCATCGCAGCTATAACAATTCATAGAATTTAAATAATCATCAAATTTTTTTATCGTCTCTATGCTACAATAAAAAATAACATTTTGATTTATGAATAGGGACTTACATTTGTCAAAATTGATAATTTAAAATCCTTTTTGACATAAGTCTTTAAGGAAGGATTAAATATTTTTTTCATTAGATGTTACCATTGAAGTTGAACTATATTTGTTATTATTTTGTTCCTCCTTTATAGATAATTGAACCTTTTCACTTTCTTAAGTTTCTGACATATTTAGAGACTCTAATCTATAAAATGAGAAAAATAAATTATTTTTTTATAATTAAAATCATAATAGTAAGTGAAAAATTTATAATGAATCATCAAACTAATTAAAACTAATCCTCCTCTGAAGATATAAAATTTTTACTGGATTAGAAATTATAAGTTGTTTTTGATTTTTACAATTTTTTTCTGATAAATTTTATTACGAAAATCAACGAAGAAAAGTATTGCCTTAATGGACAATAAATAGAGGATTACTAAGAAATTACTATTTCTAAAAAATATGTATGGTTTCCAAATTAATATAAGTTTTAAAAGTATCAGCCATAGTATTATTTGCTCTTATAATAAAAAAATAATTGTCCGAAAAAAATAATAAATTTTACTTAAAAGGTTTTTTTTATAATAAACTAATTGTATTTAGCAATTTGTAGAATTTAGTAAATTTATTTTTCTAAATATAACACATCAGCATAAACTACATTAGTAAACCATATCATATATAACTTATGAATTATTCCCTAAAATAAATAATCTTCTTCCAATCTATTTTTCTTAAATGATATACTTATTGAGACCAAATACTTGAGGTTATAATAAAAGATTAATTTCTCCTTCAAAATAAGAAGTTTTTAAATTATTTCCTCATTTGACATATAATCATCTTTATCATTTAATATTAAGGAAGATATCATTATTATATGAATTTGATACAAGTTTAGATAAAAAGTTAAATTTCTTCGAACTAAACAAGAAGAGCAACTTTTAACAAATATTGAACATTATGAAATGAAAATTAAGAACAATAAATATATACACAAAGTTTACTTAATTTAACAAAGCAATGAGATCATTTATATTAAAAACACCCAGAATATTAAAATTCAATTTATATTAATTATTTTTATAATATTAAAAATGGTATTATAATAGAATTATGGAATGTAATTGATAATACAATTATAGAGTTCTATAATCAATATTTAATTTTTAAAAATATTAGCTGATCCACTAACTTTTGTTAGCATTGTGATACTCATTCATATATATTAATTTATCAGAGGGAGATGTATTAATTCATTGTAGTGACTTTTGAACACATGAAGAATTTATTGAAGTAATTACATTCATAAATTGGCTAAAATCAATATATTTATAAATATAAAGTTATTATAAGAAGAAATCACGATATATTTTTAGACACTGAGAAATATGAAAAAGTAGTAAATTCTTCTTTAGTTATAGAAGGATATAAGATTTGGGGAAGTTCATATTCACAAATAATTGCTTATAATCCATGGGCATTTTAAGTTGATACAAATGATGGTGAATAATTTTAGAAATTGTTTTCACGCGTATGGAGCTCCATTAGGTCCCTTGTTAAAAAATTATTAATAAACCTACTGAGGGAGAATGGGGAGATGAAGCATTAGCAAAAAGATTTAAAGAAGTGAAGCCACTATATCATATTTTTGGATATGTACATTTTTAGGGACTAATTGAAGAAGACGGTATTAAATATGTCAATAGTTTAATTCTTGATGAATATTACAAATTGGCTTTTAAACCGTTTATTTTTACATTACTAAGAAGAGAAATATTACTGAGATTTAATAGAAAGTATGATTAAGGATAGTAAAGATTATATTATTATCTAATGGAATAATCTGAAAATTTTTTTAGATATTTATGTGATCTCAATTAATAATTCTAAAATTTTTTTAATTTTCGATTTTTATAAATCATACTTTTTTTTAACAATTTTTTACTGTTTTAATAATCATTTGAACAAGATTACACGATCGCATTTATTCCATCTCAAACAATAATAAGATAAATTTTATTAAATGAAAAATAAGTATGAGCACATATTCAATAGCTATAAGGAATTTTCTAAAAAAATACTGGCTCTGAAGAAAAAAATTGCAATCTACACACCACAAATTTACATTATTTACATTATTGAATATCTGGTTGATTATGACTGCCTATCCTTAAATTTAATTAATTAATTGTTGTATTTATATATTTATTAATGAGTTATTTAATTGTGCAATTTATTCTTTAAAATTCATTAGATAACTTATTACAATATATTATACATTTGAATTATGGAGAAAAATTTTTGTCAAACTATTCATTTTGGTTTAAATCATTTTCATCAATTATTAGTGAATATTTAAGATAAGAATTTTCTTAAAGTTGGTTAATATTATCCGTTATATTCTAATATATTTTAATTCATTACAAAGATTCATTTTCTTCTATTTGTCACATTTATTATTTTATTATAAAATTACAAAGTATATTTTTACAAATGTGAATAATAAATTTATGCCATTAATTTGGTTAATATAAAATAATTTCAAGAAAAATTGCTTTTTAGAAATCAAATATTGGCAACACTTCTAACTATTTAAATTATAATTTATTATAAATTATGTTTCATTTGTAATATTGAGGTTAAAGTAATAAATATTATAAAAAGTAATATGCATTTTAATGCAAATAAAATTTCGCGCGATTATGGAATTTAAACTCGATCGAATTCAACTCCTTTCTTTCTAAATTCATTTATCTTCACTCATATTAAATCTTAACAATATTATACTTTCCAACAACTCAATGACCACTTTAATAACTAAATTTAATAATACTAAAAACCATAGTTTTGGAATTAAGACACTAATTTTATAACTAACTTTTTTTCATAAGGCCAAAATTTTAATGATTACCTAATATTTCTTCTAATAACCTATGAGGTTGACTAAGACAAAGATTATTAATTATTAGCCTGAGATAGGAGAAGAATCAAGCTCTAGTAATAGTGAATAGTTAGAAGAAAAAAATGTTTAGGAAATATATATTAATATATTATATTATCATAAGAATTAAGGGAAATCAAAAATATAGATTATGCCGAATTAATTGTAATATTTATAGAATAATTGGATAATCCTGATAGTGATTAATAAGCTTACTTAAAAGTTTGTGATCAATTATTAAATTAAATTATAGAATGAAAGCTTATTTATCAGACCCCAGCTTAAGTCACTTAATAAGTGATTCGTAAGAATAAAAATTCTGAAAATAGAAGTCTAAAATTTATTATAGAATGCTGATCCTAAAGCGTATCCAGCTAAATTTTTATTAATTATTTTAATTACAATCTCCCTCTATTCCGAATATAAAAGTAAATAGAATCGCAAATAATTGCTTAAAAGTAAAACAATAGTAATTTAATATTTCTTAGTCTTGTAAATAAATTTAGAATCTAAATTTTCATCTTTTATTATCATCATTCTATAGACATCGAAAATCATAAATAGAACAATTAAAATAATAAGGCAACTTAGAAAATATCTGAAAACATTAAATTCTTCTGTATTTAAACAAAAACTCATTAAATAAGATTAGGAAATATGAGCACATAGGTTTCTTTATTAATATAAATATAGTTATTCTGAAAGCATTAATCTTCCTAACAACTATAGTAATAAGAGATCCATAATTTCGAATTCTCATTTTTTTATCTCCATTTTCCATTTTTAAAACCATTTTCATCATATACTCCTCCCCCACTATTAATATGAATTTATATATAAATTAGTGATTCATACATAATTTATTTTTTTTCTCTAGTTATATTCCATCTACCTTATTTTATTCCATTTTTATATGCTCCATGATCATTCAATTCTTCTTTAATCCTAATATTATATTATTTTTCTCTATTACTCTTTAAGATTTTCTATATTCTCAAACCAATCTCCAACTTTGATACCATTTTCATCATAAAATCCTCCCCAACTATAAATTAGATTAATAGATTTACTTTATTTATTTTCCTTCTTTTTTAGCTTCCCATCTTCCAAACTTTTTTCCAGATATATATACTCCATGATAACTTATTAAATTCCTTGAATTACTATTTTTTAATACTGAACAAAATCATCATTTATTTCAATCCAATAACCAACTTTTTATCCATTATTATAAATTCCACTCCCTCTATTTTAAATATAAATTTTTCATAAAATTTCTTACATTACTTAATTTTATTCTGAAATGGTATCCCAAATTCCAATTTTTTTATCATTTTTATATTATCCTTAGGAAGAGATTTAATTCTAGCTATTAAATATGCATATTTTGTACAATGAGAAATTGTCAACTAACTCTATCCATTTTCCCTCCTTAATCCCATTAAAATTATAATATCCCTTAGTTCTATTTCATTTTATGAAAATAAAATATTAAAATTAATGAGCTTTACATGTATATAAAATTATGTGCAATAGTGTTCGACTTACCAAATTTTTTACCATTTCGATAAAAACCCTGACATGTTATCACATCATCATTTCTTAATTATTTTATAAATAATAATACATTATCCATCTATCTATTAAGTCTATCCACCATCCGTCTTTTATTCCATTCTTATCATAATATTCTCCACTTCTGCATTTATTCAATTATAAAATTATAATTAATATTTAAATTTACATATTTACATCTTTTGTTATCTTAGTGTTCCACTGCCCAATTTTTTTGCCATTTTAGTAGTTACCAACATTTCTCCATCTTTACATAGATAATATTTAAGTACTCAATGTCACAATTATCAATCATTTCTATCCAAGTTCCATTCTTTAATCCTTCTTCATTAAATAATCCGCCACCTCTAATTGATTAAATTTTACATACATTTAGTAGTTGTTAAGGATTTATATCCATTTACCACATTTCAAATTATTATGATATTCTCCTAATTCAAATATCCATGGTCGTCTAACTTATTAATAGTTGTAATACATCATATTATTGAAATTTTTTTCTTTCCAAAGATCCTCCTTTTTCCTTATAATAACC